TTTTCTTCACCTTTTTTCCTTATTTCTCTTTATTTCATAGAAAAGCAAAAGAAAAAAGTTATACAGGAGGGATAAACACACACACACACACACACTCACACACACACACACACACACACACACACACACACACACACACACACCCTCCCATCAATATAGAACAAATTGCAGGATCAACTTTAAAAATGAAATTTTATTTTTTTGCTTAATTAAACCCCAAAGCAATGTGTGAAATGTTGTTATGGCTGGAACATTGTTAATTTGTAAATCACAGGGACAAAGGGGGCCTGGTGCAACTTTAAAGTTTCCGTGCACGTAAATGTCGATAGCGTGCCTTCTCCATCATCAGCACTAAATTCACATTGATGCCTCTTTTCTTCTCCGTATTGATCCTTCCATGAGAACGTAGATTTGTATCTGTTAATTAATGCGTCCTGAAACAGCGTTTGTATTAATCAGGCAGATAAGAAAAATTGGATGCCTGCACCCCCCTGACAACCGTAAAAGTGCTGGCCCTGATAAAATCGTGGATGGACCTCAATAAAAAAGTTCCTCCTTCCACTCAATAAACTAATCATCCTGCTTTTAATTATTCGGCAGAAAGATGTGTGGAGATTGGAGAATGTGTAAATCTATTTACTAACAGCAGTGTCTGGGAGGGAGAATAGGGCTGTCACAGGAAGGTGCTGCAGGCTACACGCTCTGTCCATCTGCTGCTGCAGAAAAACTGCGGCTTGGGAGCATGAAAAGGAACAAGAAAACTCCGGCCAATTGAAAAGATGCATTCCTTTTTTGCTCATAACTTTCTAGATGATTTTTTGATCTTTTAATTTACACAAGAAATTCCTACTTAGTATGTTTTCTTGAGGTAGATATTTGGATTTACATTTCACCTTTTTTCCTTGGAAGGGGATAGAAAAAAGAGCAGTGTGGTTTTCTGTTTATTGTGAATATAACATTGTTAAAATTAAAATCACCTGCAGCCAAACCTATTCAGGTTAAATACTTTCTCTGTTGAATCACTGTTTAAAATGTTATCCTCTATTATATCTCTAAAAGGATATTTATTAATTTAACCCCAAATGCAATGACAAAAACAGAATAAGAAAAAAGACTTACACAGCCAGTCCAAAAGAAATCCTGTCACATAATGTGTAAGCACCTTAATAAACAATGAAAGAAATGCATTTTTTAAATATGCCCTAAAGACTCCCTTAAGAAAAGCTTGACTCGTCCCGTCTGATGATTTTATTAAGCGCTTATAATTAATGGTACCAAATGGCAAACCACTAGTTTTCACCAATAGGTCAGGAAATCATTTCCTTTTCTTTACCGTGCTGCAGTTTCTAGTATCATATGGGATATGCACAATTTGATATGAATGAAAAGGACAGCAACAGTGACCATCAGCAGCAGCCTAAAAAGGCTGGGCATCAGTGGGTATTTATGATGTGGGAAATAATGTCTAGAAAGGGAGCAAAAATAGATGTCTTAAATTGCATTATTAAAAATGATCCTCCTTTCCTGTAGAATTACTGGTGGCAGGACCTTAAATGATGGCAACACTCTCCTCAGAAACCATGGGGTGGGGGGTTACCGTTAGAAGTCTTAGGTATATACTTGGAAATAAAAGTGAAGTTTTAAGTAGCATTTGCTTTTTAGGACTTGGGAAAAGCATCTGATCATCAAGTATCTTCACTTTAGAATACAGATCTAGTCTCTCTGACATATAAATATACATCTTCACTCCCAAGTAGCCTCAATTGCACTGCTTCATCTTTCTCTATTGAACATTTTTGTTTTAATTTTTTTGCATATGTTTTCTCCAGCTCAGAAAGGACTTTAAATGTGCATGTGTGAATGCATCCCAGATTTGCAGAAAAGAATTGATCAGCTAGATAAGTCAGATAAAAATAACATATTAATAATACAGCACTTAATTAATTGCATGTTAAACTTAATGTTTAGGTAGGTGATATTTTATATTTCCCAAATACAAAATTTAAGATACAAGTTAATTTGTCTTGCTTAGGGTGAAAGAGCCAGTAGCTAATTGGAGCCAATATTTACATTCAGAATCTGACTCCTTGGCACCAAACCCTGCTACATTTATATTTAATTTTTTAAATATCTGGATCTTAATAACAATAGTGAATGGGGCTTTTCTATTTGGTGAGGAGGCCAGGCTGCTAAGTATTCCACTTTCTTTTATGCCAATTATCACTAATTTTAAAGGAAATTCATATTAAATATCAGTGGGGGGAAATAGCCAATCAAGAAAGCTTCCCTAGTTGTAACTCATTATCCATTGTGTTTGTAACTATTAATATCATATAGAAATGTTTCCATGGTGTGCTGAGCTCTGTGGCCTAAATTGTTTGTTTACCTTTGTTTTTTAGCTTTTTTTTTTTAACTTTCATTCTGTTTATCAATAGTAGTTTTTAGAGATGAGATAGATGACTTGCACCAGAAATCAAGTATAAAAATTTCATGGTATTTTCTTCTCAAATGAAAGAAAACTACATTTCTATTATATTCCCCTAAGCTGTGTCTATAAAGCTTATAGAAAATACTCACAAATTGAAAAAGCTGGTTTGTGACTTTCATTTTGCTGTTTGCAGAGTGATTCAGGGAAAATTTTAAGAGCTTCTAATCAAAGCTCAGCATAATTTTGAGCAGTGATGCAGAAGCCGGCTACCATATGAAACTAATGTTGCATTATGAAATTATGGCTTTAAAGTAACTTGATCTGCCCATTTTTCCATGCAGGCTTCTCCACGCTGTCCCTGGCGGACCAGATGAGCCTTCTGCAGAGTGCTTGGATGGAAATTTTGATCCTTGGTGTCGTATACCGATCTCTTTCCTTTGAGGATGAACTTGTCTATGCAGACGATTATATAATGGACGAAGACCAGTCCAAATTAGCAGGCCTTCTTGATCTAAATAATGCTATCCTGCAGCTGGTAAAGAAATACAAGAGCATGAAGCTGGAGAAAGAAGAATTTGTCACCCTCAAAGCTATAGCTCTTGCTAATTCAGGTTGGCATATCGACATGGTCATTGTTATATTTTATTATATGTCAGTTTTATCCCTCTCCTTACCTTCTTTAGGGATTTGCTAGACCTAGTCTGTAAATTTTGTATGAGTCAGCAAAATTATAAAAATTATAACCAGTATCACTTTCTAGTGGGAAGTTAGAAATAGGAAAAATATACTTGAATTAGTTTCATTTGACTTGCTTATTGAATGCTTTGAAACTTTTATCAACTAATGCATCTACTAATTTGAATCATAGCAAAGCAAAAGCTTCTGTAGGAATAGCATAAGTGGACACTCCCGGGACAAAATTAGCTCCATTGTCTTTTACACCTAAGTTAAAACAAGGGAATTGATACACACAAACCATTTTTCCCTCAAAAACGCAAATTATGCAATTGGGAAAATATATTTCATGTTGCTTTGAGTTTGGGTTATCAAAGATTACTATTTTCTTACATTCCAGAGTTCTTTAGAAGTCGAAGTCAAATTCTGCCTATGCAGTAAGGGTTAAGAATTACGGGAAAAACTGTTCCGTACATTTGAACTGAAAGGTGCTAAAATAGAGAGCAACCTCTGATAAGTAAAAATCGTTGGTGCTTTGTTGTTTTTCCCTTTGTGCCTCTCTTAATGCTTTATTATGGTCTTAAGTCTCTTTTAGCATTTGCATAAAGTTCAGGATAGATCCCTCCTTAATGATGTGCCGATCATTAGATACCTGTGTGTCAATAACATGCTCTGATGCTAGGTACCATTGACAGTCACACCGTGCCCCTCCATCTGCTTTTGTTTTGACCCTATCTTTGAACTTTATCTTGGTTGCCGGCCAGTAGTTTTCCCTTTAATTACAAGAAGGAAACTGTCAATAAAATCTGTTAAATGGGATGCAATGAGTGGCTTGAATGGGCGGACGGCTATTTGTTCAAATTCTGCAGCATTCAAGGTATTGACAGTTTGTTTTCTGGGGCCATATGTGACGATCAATCTCAGGCTGGGCTCAGCCGCGCTGAAAAATGAAAAACCAGATTGCTTTTGCTTACTTGTGGATGACGACTTTGTGATTTGGCGCGGTCCTAGTGAGATGAGACCTTCTGCCCAAATTGCCCCCATGAGAGCCAGGGACGCGTGACTGTTTTTAGAAATAATTTTTAATTGATTTTGTAATTAACAGTTCATCTACAATATTGATGCACGAATCCTTGGACTGATAGGAGAGAAATTGTTTTCAACAATGAAGTTGTACTTTCCTATTTGTCTTCATAATAGAGTTTAGCATTTCACAGTTCTAATTGTGAATATAACCCTCTTCCTCATACCATGCACCCCTCTTCTCCTACTCTCCCGTGAAATTATAAAATATGATTCCCTATGACAAATGACATTGTTATTATAAACCCTGAAGAAACCCCTGCCCTCCCTCTCCAGAAGATCAAAGTGAGAAATTTTCTGAGGATTTATTAGTTTGTTTGGACTTCACTTTATGGCATCTCTCATAATTAGATGAAATATTTTATAACAGTGGTTTTGGGAAGAATTTTTTCTTGGCAATCTTGAAACAATTCTAATTTAAAACATTTACTTGGTTAATTGTTTTTAAAATGTACTAAGCCTGTGTTATATCTTTAATGTTTCAAATCGCTTTTTAAAATTATTAACTAACCATGAATGCTGAGCAATGCTAAAACTTTATCAACAAAATTGCTAAAATCATATGATTTTAGATGTTGGAAGTATACTTTATGACTAAGTATTATAATTTAGAGTACATAAATTAATTAGTAGCAGCATTTCTGTCTCTGTTGCTTAGAAGTATAAACATTAATATTTCTGAAAGATAAATGTCCTAATCCACATATTCTGCTTCTGGGAGAGGAAGTGACTAACTCACAGCAGTGACTGATGATTAGAAAACCGTTAAACAACCAGTTTATTTACTTTTCACGTCTGAAGTCAGAAATAGTCAACAAGCTCTCCGTTTTTCTCTTATCACGGTAGTTGAGTAGCATAGCTTTTTTTAAAAAAAAGTCTGTCCCAAAATGTTCTTACAGGTGATTCCATCATTCATTTAGCCCCTCAATACCAAGAAAAATCAATTGAATCAGAGTTCATACTAAAGAATAACTGATTACGTGCTCTAAGTACTATTTTAATTTCTAAATTGTGCCACTTCTACTGTGTTATGTAATTATGGCCTTTTCTTTGCTCATCTAACCTGCAAGCCCCATCATTTTAGTATGGGGCAAACAACTCAGAAAGTAATTTTCTTTGATACTACTACTATGTTATTTATTCCGTTTCTGTTATTTGGAGCACAGCAATAAAGTTGTAGATCCAATATTGAATGTAGATTTGAACTTGCTTAGATCCAATGTGGTTTTCTTAAACTGCCCATATACATAGCAGTATAAAAATATCGTAATACTCTAGACACCCTAAATGGCTTGATTTTTTGTGATTTCTGTGTGTGTGTGTGTGTGTGTGTGTGTGTGTGTGTTTAGGAGCTCCAGATTAAGTAACTTTTCATGCAAAAAAGAAGATCTATTTCAGTGTAATTTAGGTAGATATCCTAGCTTTTCCTGCATGGATGTAGATGATAATAACCATTGTCTCCTTTATCTTAATTTTACCTTATTTTAAACATCTGTCTTTATTCAATAATTATAAATGTTGTGCTTATGCTTGGAAAAAAGGCATTTGGCTTCCTGATAATGGCTGTCATATTTTTTGTAGCTTTGTTTCTGTCATAAGTGAATTCAGGAATACTTGTAACACCAGAACATCACTGGAAACTCTCATGTATATGAATGAAACAATATGTCATGAACTATTATAATTCTGCAGTTTTCATGCTCAAATCTTTGAAAACCCTAAATAATAGTTCCAATTACTTTTGACGATAAGAAACTTACAGGCTCATTTAAGCCATGTATTCTCTTATTTTTGAGTATTAACAAGCTCTTGGGTAATTATTGCATCCCTGATATATCTCTGTGGGATGGAAAACTCTATGTCACAATATTGTAATTCTTAGGATCCAGTTTTTTCATGCATATAACAAGAGGTTTGACTAATTTCAAATTATTTCCAATTCTGGAATTCTATGATTCTATAATTAATCTCTGTATTAGAAAATATAGTAAAATATTTCTATAAGCACCTAGGTAAGATTATATAATGGGATTTATTTCTCTTGATTGGATCTCTTGATTCTTATGTTAAGAATTTGTTTGGAATTATATACTGTGAGATTAAAAGCAGTTAAAGCTAATGAATCACTTTAGTCTGACCATTCTCTGTTGCTCAAGTCATAAGACCTTCAATCCCTAAAGTAGCCACTCATATCCCAGCCTTTGTCACCCCTGCCCTATCCCAGCCTGAAGCCAGGTGAGCCCAATCCATTCAAGAATAAACATGTTTCGAGTTTTATTACTTCTACACATTGTTTCCAGAATAATAGCACCTATTGATATTATGCTACAAGTAATGATTTGGTTATCAATTTAAAATAATAACTTCATGACAGCATTCTGTTCTTAAGGACAAATGGTTATGTATGCAGAGTTGTATAATTAATTCCAAGGTATAGAAAGTTTATGATTGCTGTAGGATACTGGAATGGGCACCATATTTAATTAGGATATTTGGACCCTCAATATAGGTTTGGCTTAGTGTGTTTTTATCATCACTATGAGGGAAGCCTTTTTTGATATTGTTTTCGTAATAACCACCCAATGAAATAGTAATATCATCTGTTTAGGACATATATATACACACACATATACATATGTGTACACACATTTATGCATATATATGCTTTGTGCCTAAAAAGAGGAATGTTTTCTAGTCTCTAATTCCAAATTTCACCTCCTTTGGGAAGGAGGCCTAAATATGTGCATAACTGTTTTCTCATCTGTAAAATAAGGCAGGTGAATTAAATAATGTCTAATATCCCTTAAATGGCCTAAACATTTTAGATTACTTTTAAGTAAAGGTGGCCAGTTTGGTTTGATACATGTATATATACATGCATATGTGTGTGTGTGTGTTGTGTGTGTGTGTATGTAAAGTAAAACTGGGCCTTAGCCAGTTTTACAAAATTTTGACAATTTGTTGATTTGATGTTCTGGAGATAGTTTTAGCTGCTAGTCAAAGGAGTATCCTTTTTCAGAATCTTTCTGTAGATATTTCCTTTTTAAAGCTTCTTCTAGGGACTCTCTTATTTGATTCCCACAACATACCTGTGCAGTAGACATGTCCAATATATATTTACAGGTATGTGAAGAAAGCTGATAATCATGCGTGGCTATTATGAGGCAGAAGGTGGGACCTTCTGTCCTTTGCTATCAATAAGCTATTTCTATTCCACAAATAATTATATACATGTTTTTAAAAGGATTAATGCAGAAGATTTTACCCATTACAATTTCATATCTGGGAGCCTAAATTAGTATTTTCAATTTGATTGAGAATTTCCTGCCCACTTCCTCTATCTTGCCAACTTCTTGGCATTAGAAGACTATAAAACTACCCAGAAAAGTGACAACAGAATTGGACATGAAATGTTTATCAAGAAATTGTAACATTCTATGAGAAATGAATATATGTAAGCTTTGTGTGGTGGGTAGAACTTTGTTCCTAATTTTTACCCAGAACAAACCATAAGTAATAGTGTTAGGTAAATAAGAAAATTACAACCTTCCATCTCCTACTTTACTTTTCTTTAATTTTTACTCAAGTTTGCCTTCATTGGGTTATTTTATTTAGAATAATATATTTTGGAAGTGAGCTTTAAAAAATTTAATACAGCCCTTAAATTTTAAACATATTACAGTATTGTAATTTTTAGGTAAAAAAAATAAAAGTTGGCTCTTAAATGTTTCATGTTCAATGGTCACTCCATCTTGGCATGGTATAGGAAATATTTGATGCAAATAGCTTCATCCTTCCAATATTTACCTGGGTAAATACTTGGGTAATATGTGTTTATTTCCTGGGCAATAAG